TATTGAAACAAAAGTCTTTAATAAAATATTAGAAAATTGATTTCAGTTCAGCATCTTTGGAAGATGATTATATACCATGGCCAGATGAGATTTATTCATGGACATGAAGGATAGCTCAATATGAAAATCAACCAATATCATTCATATGCCATATTAATAGAATGAAGAGAGAGGGGGGAAATTGCATGGGCATCCCAAGTGACGCAGAGGAAGTATTTCATAAGAATGGGCATGGTGGCACATGCCTTTAATCCCAGCACTTGGGAGGCAGAGGCAGGCAGATCTCTGTGAGTTTGAGGCCAACCTGGTCTCCATAGCAAATCCAGGCCAGCTAGGGCTACAGGGAGACGCTGTCTCAAAAAGACCAAAAAAAAAAAAAAAAAAAAAAGAATCAACATCCTTTCATTAAAAATGCTCAGCAAACTAGGATAGGGGAAAGGAGACCTCAACACCATAAAGTTCATTCATGAGAAGCTCACAGATAGCATCACAATCCATAGTAAAGTACCAGAATTTTTTCTTCTAAGAACAGGAATAGACAGAGGTGCCTGCTTTCGCCATATCTATTCAACAGAGTATTTATTGGAAATTCTAGCCAAAGCTGTTGGGTAAGAGAAATATAAGGCATTCCAATAATAAAGGATTAAGTAAAATTATCTTTTATCAGATGACATGATCTTATTATCGAAAATGCTAAAAATTCTGCCAAAATGAAAGAAAAACATAACTGATAAATAAAATTTGGTAAAATAGTAGGATACAAAATCAGCATTCAGAAATCATTTGCATTTCTTTATATTAATAATGAACAATCTGATTGTATAAGGAAATTAAGAAAACATTTCCTCGCAGTGATGTCATCTTACTACTAAGAAGTGGGGAAAAAAAAGAAAAAAAGAAAACATTTCCATTTGCAATAGCTTTAAAAAAAAAGATACTGAAATAAAATTAACAGGGGAGGCTAAAGACTTGTTCACGGAAAGCCAGAAAATGTTACTGGAAATTTACAAAAGACACGAATAGGTGGAAACACATGCCATATTCATGGACAAGATATTGGCAGTTGATATTGTTAAGGTGTCGTTACTTCCACAGACATCTGTAATGTACTGATGATTTTTGCATAAATTGAGAAAAAATTCATTCTAAAACTTTTATAGACACTCTGGGGACCTCCAGTAGCCAAAACTATTTTTTAAAAAAGCATAACGCATTTAGAAGGAGACCCCAAAATTCTTGATCTCAAACCTTAACTATAAAACAGTAATTAAAATGTTGTGGTATCAGGACAAAGGCATGAGCTTGTGTGTGCTTGCTAATACATGTGTGTATGTGTGATATGTCTAATCAATGGAATAGATTCGACAGTTCTGAAATAAATCTCTACAAATATGGTCAGATGATTTTCAACAAGGATGCCAAGACCATTCATTCACAAAAGAACAGGCTTTTCAAAACCTGTGTGCATGGGGCATGGATATCCACATGCAAAAGAATAGTGATAGACCTAATCCAAAAATTAAAATGAGTTCAGAAAAACTTCAAATGGAAGAGACAAAAACTATAAAGTTCTGTCTTAGTTTGGCTGCTGTAAAAAAGTAGCATGGACTGATTGGCTTATGAATGATTGACATTTATTTCCCATAGTCCTAGAGGCTAGAAGCCAGAGTTCATGGTAACCATTACATGGTACTATAGTCAAGTTCTAGATAGGGCCCTCTTCTGGGCTGAAGATTGCTGACTACTTGTATATCCTCACAAGGTGGAGGATATACAGCTTGCTAGCTCTCTGGCCTCTTACATGGGAACCAATTATATTCACAGTGATTCCATTCTCACGACCTACTGCCTCCTAGAGTCCCTATCTCCAAATGCCATCACATTGGGAGTATTTCCTATCTCCCTATAGCCCATCCAGATGTGCCAAGTGTGTGTGTGTGTGTGGAGGATCAGTCCTGGTGCTCCAGACTCACAAATGACACATCTTCATTTTTTGCATAATAAAGACAATAATTTTGAAGTCTCTTTGATGTAGATGTTTTGGTGTCTGGCAGATGGAATTTGTGAAACACTTTCCTGTAGTATGTACTACTCTGAGACCAATGAAAAGAAGATAGGAAATTGATTTCCCAAATATAAAGGAGTATGTGAATGCATGTCTTCAAACCTGCAAAATTTCAAACTGCCTAGTGTCCCCTTTCCACGATGTGTGAAATGAAAGGGCCAGATGCTCAGAATAATGACGTGCCTGAGCCCTCAGGCTGTGCCCCCTGGCACTGCCAGCGAAGAGACATTCCAGGGCCAAGCCACAGTACCAGACTGTAATTTAAAGTGTGTTTAACATAGAAAAGGTACTCTACTATTTGAGCTTCTTGTGTATACTTACTGTCATTTGTGGTTAAAGTAGAAGTCACCTGAAAGCTAAACTTAATCTTGGAAATCCAGTTTATCTCCTTCCAATCACATATCTTGGAAGCTCATGCTAACTGACCATTGTGAATTCAGTTGAAAATTCTGAATGGATTACTTGCATGTACCCACTCCGTGTGGTTTAAGCTCCATAGTCTCTGAATTAATAAGGAAAACATTGGTACTTGATACCACGTCCTTGACATCGAAATGTAGCTGAGGATGTTTTCCTCTTTCAGTGTCCCTGTGGTGCTGCTTTTCGTACTCTACACACACACACACACACACACACACACACACACACACACACACGACACATGTCAATGCATATAGTTTATTATATGTAAACTATAGCATATATTATATAAACTGTATCATTGGTAAAATAAAAGCATATCATACATTTAAAAGCTGCAAGGCTCTTTACTTAGTCTACTGTCTTCCTGTCACCAGGAGCATTGCATGGTACAGATTCTTCATTGAGGTTCATGATATTGAGGTTGTGTCTATCCTTAGTGGGCAACTGAGCTAATGTGTTAACATGAGGATCCAAAAGTGAATGCAAGAATGCCTAACACGTGTTAGATGGGCTTATCTCTGAAGGTAAAGGGGGCCTGTGGTTCTAGGGGGGTTAGAGAGAATGAACAGAAAGAGGAACAGTCCTGGACAGAGCTATGAGACTCAGCCTTCCATCAGAACATGATTAGGCACCCACTGAGGTACACAGAGTAGTGACCCCAGTGTAAGTAATCACAATATGAGTGTTTCTACAAGTGTTTTGCAAGGTGTGAGTGGCCAGGTAAGATGGGCTGACCTTACCAAGAGGCTGCTGGGAGCTCTTGCAAGCATTTTTCCAGTTCTGCCAATTTTGAAGGGAATGAAGCCATTGGGAACAACCTTGCCACTTTGAGACACTGTGAACCTCTCATTTTCAGGTTCTTGATGGTGCAGTTAAATGGTTAGAGCTGGGCACTGAGGTCTGTGGAAAAGAGTAGTGCTGGCAGTGACTGATGGTAGGATGGCAGGAGATTCTCAGAAACACCAGCCAGGATGTGGCCTTCTGGAGTCTGATGCTGTTCTCCACTTGGTCAGCAGGCAGGAGCTAAAAGATTGGCACTACCACTTAGCTGCACTAGGGAGGGGATCAGTCACACCATTTGATTTAACTTTGGTCCTTCACCTGTTGGCAGGCCCAGGCTATAAGACGGTCCATTATATAATTTTATAGTCAGACCCTTCTACCCACACTTCTTCTAAGCAGCTGGGTCAGTTTATATTTTTGCTACTGATTCCATGATGTCCTACAACTATCTTAGGAACAGGTTTATGTATTAGACAAAATACCATGTGTAGCAGTGACCTGTGTATTTATATTATAGTGCCAGTCACAGAAAAGAACAGCATGGGTTTGCATCTGAGGACTGGGTGTTTCACTGTGGAGATCTTTACTTGGGGACAGATTTAATGGTCTGAGGAGGGTCAGTGATCCCCAAAGTCCTCACATACATACATACATACATACATACATACATACATACATACACACACACACACATATTCTCCCTGGGAGTCCAAAAATACAGGCTTCTGTTCCTCCCAGCAGTTCTTATTCTGACAATAGCATAACTGCTAACAGTCCAGAAGAATCTTGCAAATAGGCAATAGTTTGAGCTCAAACGATATCATCTTGGAATATTTGTAAACAAGTTACGCTGTTGTTTGCTTGTCACCTTGATTGTTTGGCCAAACATATCTAAAAATTTTACATTTTTACTTATTTATTCATGGATGTGGGTGGGTGTAGGTGTGGGTATGCAAGCACGCGCATGCACAATGTGACGTGTGGAGGTCAGAGGACAACATTCAGGAGTCAGTTTTCTCCTTCCACTATTTGGGTTCCAGAGATGAAACCCAGGTCATCAGGCTTGTAGCAAGTGCCTTTCCCTGCTGTGCCATCTTGCTGGCCCTCCATGTTTTTAAAAAAGATATTAAGCACCTAGATGTCAAATTATGTTTATGAATATTCAGACTGCAGAATAAACTCAGTAGAAGGCCTTGGAAGGTTAAGCAGGCTTTGGAAACGCCTGTTAGTAGAGAGCCGACTTACATATGGGCAGTCTTTGCAGCAGCTGCTAACCTCAGGCTGTGTGGTGACAGGGTCAAAGATCATATGTGCCTGACAGGCCATAGCTAGCGATGCACTCTTCTGAAGAAGCCTCTCAAGAGTTCACGTAGTCCAGGAACTCCCCAAGTGTACAAGCGTAGGTATTGACTAAGTGTACTTCATTGGTCATTTTGAAGCACATGATTATAGAGATTGATCAGTATTTGACTTCAAATCCATTATGGCCAGGATCTAAGCTTTCTAATTTTTTCTTTGGGGGTTGCAACCTTCCATTTAGATGTAAGGCATGCAAAGGGACAGGTTCTTTCCTGCTGCGTGCTTTAAACAAGTCAGCCATTGTTAAAAGAGCAATATGATCCCTGTTTCAAAAGCTCATGTTTAAAGTTGTGGGTGCTACTGCTGCTCTTTTATGAAACAAATGATTTTCTTGTCTCTTGTTCCTCACTTCTCTCCTCCCCACCTCCAGGAAGGGTCCCTGTGGCCTTCTGACAGTTCCGTACGGCGGCCAGGGGCGTCAGAGGTAAGGTGGAGGTTGGGGGGAGAAGCCATGGCTACAGCCTTGGGTTTGGAATAAACTTTAGGATTAAATCATTGTCTGTAACATTGGTTAAAAGGGGAAAGAGGGGAATTTCCCCAAGAATCCTGTGTAAGTCTAAGCTCTGTACAGAAAACAGGTTGAAAACTGCTGAATGTTACATTATCCTAGGTCTATTAATAATTGGGCTTTGCGAATGTAGGCATAGTTTCTACATATCAAATGGCATGGCTTTTCCTCACCTGTCCAAATTTAATAATCTGCTTTTTTTGAGACTGGGTCTCACTGTATAGCCATGGGTGGCCTGGAACTCAGAGAGATCCACCTGCTTTTGCCTCCTGAGTGCTGGGATTAAAGGCATAGGCTACCATACCCAGAAAGAACCTGAATTTTTGAAGTGATTCAATATAAATGTAAAAGTAAACAACAAACTTAGCTTACAAAAACCATGAAACAATGAAATTTGTGGAACCGAATACATGACATTGCCAGCCATACTAAACCAAACTCTCTCGGTGAAAACTTGTCCCTTACTGAATTTTAAGATAACAGTTTTTGCCTATAAAAAATGATTTGAGATAAGTCAATGGTTGTGTGTACATATTAATTTATAGGTATACATATGTATATACACATACTTCATATGACATTTGTCTTGAAGAAAATTGGAATAAAGAGAGGTTTATCTATTTCTATTATTAGGTTTCAAACTAGCATACAAAGCAGTGAGCTTCACTGTGTGATTTTTTATTCATTCTGTATTTTGTTCTCATCTGGTTTCTTTCGCACTGCCCTCCACATACCTCCTGCTCCTCTCTGACAGGTTCCCTTCATTCCCCTAAGCAGCCCTTTGCTTCCTTACCACATGCACTCTTCTTTCTTTCCCTCTTCTGTTAAGATCTTCTCTCTCTCCTCCATGATCCCCTTACTAGCTTCATCACCCTTCACACAAGTACACACACATGTATGCATGCATGCATGCATACACTATAATTTTAAATCTATGCTCCACATATGAGAAAACAGCATTTATCTTTCTGAGTCTGAATTTTTTTGCCTAACGATGATTTCCATTTCTGTCCATTTCCCCACAAATGTCATGATTTCAGTTGTTTTTATGGCTTTACAAAACTCGGTTGTGTGTATATTCCACATTTTCTTTATCCATTCATCTGTTGATGGACATCTAGGTTGGTTCCATTTCCTGGCTATCATCAAGAGTACAACAATAAACATGGATGTCCAAGAAACTCTCTGAGATGTTGACTCAGAGTACTTTGGATATATATGCAAGAGTAGTGTAATCTGGTAGTTCTAGTTTTTGTTTTTAGAGAACCTTCAGTATCCATTTCCATACTGGCAATACAAGTTTACATTCCCTTCACAGTGTATACACATATCGTCACTAGCATTTGTAGTCATCTGTGTTCTGGATACTGGCATTTCTGAGAGGGGTGAGATGGAATTGCAGAGAACTTTTTTATTGAAATTTCATGCATACACATAAATGTGCTTTGATCATGCCCATTCCCTCCCCTTTAATTCCTCCCTGTACTCCTCACCACTACATACACCCCACATTGGGAGGGATCTCAATTTTATGTGTTCTTTTTTAAAACCCCCTGAGTCCACTTAGGGCTGCTAGTTTGTGTATGGATGTAGGGCCATCTACTGGAGCATGGGTAGTCCCTCAGGGCCTAGATCCCTGAAGAAAACTTTCTCTCCCAGCAGCAGTCAGTTGACAATAGCGTCTCAGCTTGGAGGTGGGGGAGGATTTATGACAACCGTCCCCATCCATACTAGGATTTTTCTGGCTTGATCTTACACAGGTCTTATGCATGTAATCACAGCCACTATGAATTCATACGGGCAACTGCCCTGTTGTAGTCAGAAAACATTGTTTCACTGTAGTCATCCACTGCCTCTGGATCCACTCCTTTCCTCTTCTGAATTGGTCCCTGAGCCTTGGGAGGAAGGAGCATGATATAGATGTCAAATTTAGGGCTGCCCACTGTGGTCTCTTGTTCTCTGCATGTTGACCAGTTGTTGGTCTCTGTGTTAATCACCATCTTCTGCAAAAAGTAGTTTCTCTGATGAAGATTGAGAGACACACTAACCTATGGATATATAGCTAAGTCTTTGGGAGTAGGTTTAATACTGTAGCCATTTAGCAGAATTGTAGTATTAGGTATTCCCTTAGATGCAGTGGCCTATCCAGCCATGGATTTTTGGTCCCATTAACAGTGCAGACATGAGTTCTGTCTGATGGAGCAAGCCTTAAATCTAATCAGAAAGTGCCTGGTTATTTCCATAATATTCACGCCACTATTGCATTCGTGGGTTTATCTTGCCAGGCAACTTGCTGTTGTAGCTCTCAGTGTTTACAGCTGGGTAAGACTATTAATTACTTTTCTCCCCTAGTAGTGCCTCCCACCACTAGGAAAGTCAGCCAGTAGGGATGAAGCTTCCAGGTTGGTACAGATTAATATATCCATGTTCTATGATTTGAGTGTGTAGTGTGTTCAGCAATAGGGTCTTAACATCAAGTTCTATAGAGTAAACAAAGGTAGTGGCAATTGCCTATGATATTTGGGCATGGTCTATGGGATCCCACCAACCAACAACCCAAAAAGAGGTAACCCATTCCCAGCACTGGCCTTTTTATTTGATAGCCTATGGTGTCTGGGAGAGACATTGTCTTCCTACCCGCTGCCTGTTATAGGGTAACTCCATTTAAACTCTCTCTCTCTCTCTCTCTCTCTCTCTCTCTATCTCTCTCTCTCTCCATATATGTGTGTGTGTGTGTGTATGTGTG